GCCAGTTCGGGTCACTGCTTTGTGTGACTCGGGGCCAAAGGGAGAGTTCGGGCTCCTCGTAGGGAGTTTGAGCTCTTAGTAGGGAGGTCGGGCTCCTTTTAGGGAGTTCGGGCCCCTTGTAGGGAGTTCGGACTCCTCTTAGGGAGTTGGTCTCTCGAGGGGAGTTCGGTCTCCTCGAGGGGAGTTTGGACCGCTGGTCTTTTCCCTTTGGTGCTTGTACCCTAAGTATGCTGCTTTAAGTGTCGAGTTACTTGTTTTTTGCCATGTGGCATGATTTGCGAGATTGGGCCAAATCTTCCTTCATCAAGAAGGATATGGGATTTGATCCTCACAAGAATATGCTCACATAGTTTGTAACCTTACATTAGAAATATGTTTCCATGAAAAAAAAAATATACAAATATTTCCAATGGGCCGGAGTTTGTTGGTGGGAATTGGGATGATGGGATCAGACGCCATTGGCGCTGTTCAAGCTGTGTCCATGGAAACTGAGATCCCGTTTAGCCCTATTAGCAACATAGTTGTTGATTGTGAGTCCCTGATTAGGAATTTGCAGGAGTGTCAATTCAGGTATATCCTCAAGGAGAAGAATCACTTGGCCCACAATGTAGTTCGTCTGGCCCAAGATGAGCCTTTAAACCATGCTCTACCCACCTGGTTGTGGGCCGTTCTTGATTCGGATTTTGCATTATGCAATGGCTTACGCACCTTTGGGGCCCCTTTTACATGAATAAAGCTTTAATTTCCATACCAAAAAAAAGGAATGGCATCTCTGAAATTATCTCTGAAGCAAAGGGTAGTTTTCACCAGAAGAAACTAGGACTTCTTTTATATTACAGTATTTGGAATGCATGTGCAAGAGAGAGAAATATCGTTTTTTTATTTGATAAAATCAGAGAGAGAGAGAGAGAGAGATGTGGGTAGAAGTCCTGCTCCCCATGGTTTGCAACTTTCCATGACTTCCATCTTAACTCATAAGAGATGAGTTAAGAGAAAGATCTAATTAACTTTTATTGATTAATAATCAACTAATTTTCTACTATTATTTACTTAGGAACTTGAGAGTTTGAGGCAGAGAGAAGAAAGAGAGGGGGGACGACGGAGGAGGGAAAAAGAAAGTAAGAGCAGTTGATTTCAGTTGGTGATGGTGGAGTGGCGATCGCTACTAGGCGTGGTAAAGAGTATTATAGCAGTGGTGCTATCGATGTTCTGGTTGAACTCCGGTGGTAATGGTCGAAGAGGAATATTCTTGGTGGGTGGTAGTAGCAACGGAGGTATCGTCGGTGCTGCTTCTGGTGGCGAAGGCTTCTGGGACTTGGCGGCGCCCTTTCATGTCGGAATAGCGATCGCAGTGACGGCCATGGCTGGCGTCGCCTTGGCCGCCACCCTCGTCTACTCCCGTAGGTAAAATCAACAACAACAACAACAAAAACCCTAGAAATTATAGAGCCCCGAGAAAAAAAGAATAAAACAGAAAAAAAAGTTACCCTAAATGAGAGCCCTCCGCCGCTCTCATACATCGTCGTCGTCCAACCCCAACTCCAACTCCTCTTCCTCACCGTCGTCGTCATCATCATCGTGGATTCATTTACGATCGGTTCTTTTCGTCGTTGCGTCGTCCTCACCAGTTCCCTCCGATCGGTGAGTGTTCTTCTTGAATTTTTCTGTTTTCTGATCTTTATTTTTCATTTTTCCCACTTCAGATCCGATCTGGAAGTACTCCTAAGCGTTCTCTCCTCCGTCAATCTGATAGTGTTTTCCCTTTTTTCCTTCCGTTTCATTTCCCACTTTTCTTTCTTGAGCTTCTATAGGATTCTGATCTCACTTGCTCATTACTTGAATGAATTTGTCTAGTTTTTGATTGGATTTGAACTGTGCTTAACCTTTCTAGACTTCGAAATTAGGTGGATAACTGAATGAGTAGAGATTAATTTAAGCGTTTATTAGTAGTATTTTTTCCCTTTAATTTGTTCTCTTGTATCTGTGTGTATCTTAATTATCAAAATTTTATATTAAGGCTCAGTTTGGGAGGAGTACAAATACAAAATATGTACAATGCAAAGCCTTGTTTATTGTATCTGCAAACCTTGTTTTGCACTGTACATATTTGCACTTGTAATCTTTCCAAACTGAGCGTAATGGAATTTTCTGGTTCTGTTTTTGTTGATTGCTATGCCCTTTTATTCATTTTATCCATGTTTCTCTTTCCTCGCGGGCTGATACTACTACTGTTGTTGCTTTTGTTCGAACAAAGTAATCCATCTCTCGTTATAATGATTTATGAGATTAATGTTTGGTACCGGTAGTTTGCCGTGAAGAATTTCATCAGTAATTTCTTTTCCTCTTTATGGTCTTATAATTTCAGAACTTTAGGCTCAGTTTGGGAGGAGTACAAATACAAATACAAAATACATGTTTAGAAATACAAAATATATGTTTTTACACTGGAAATATTTGTATTGTACTCTTCCCAAAATGAGATAGAACCTTGAAAAGATACATGAGCTGAATGTTAACACAACCTCGAGGAGGATAACAAGGAAAAGATTGCTGCTGTGAGGGAGGTCCATTTCTATTTGATGTTATCTTTACACATCCCTTGATGGAACTCTGAACTTTAGTATACCAGGAAAATAAATTCCACAGCTAGTATAAATACCTCTAAGGCAGTTCCTGTTAAGTCCCAGCTATTGCCTTTTTGTGGTTTAACTGGCATACCAGAGTTCTAACTTAGAGGTCTTTGGAGTTTTTTCTGATATTTTGTTGGTACCAACTGGATGTTGCAGATGCACAATTATATGCTCATGTGACCTGTATAATTGGTTCATTGCAGATACAGAATTATATCTTGTGCAGGAGCACATTAAATAGAAGTAAAAAAAGAAAGTCAAGTGATTGTGATCTTTGAGGTTTTCCTTTAATCGCCTCGAAAGAAACATCATGTCAATCTTTCTACATTCATTGTTTGGAGATCTTTTACACCACTAGACCCTAGGTTGATTCACCATGCTGAATTAAGATCATCTAGGTGGAAACTTTTCATGGAAGGTGCGACTTCTAAACTCAAGGAGAAGGGGCATTTGATTGGACTCTACACATACATGTCATTTAATTTCTTTTAACAAGTATCTCTAATTTACCTATTTTTACCTGAGTCACAACAATCCTTAAAAACTTTCCTAAACTTTAATTCTTCGACTAGGTGCATTTAGAGTTGCTGTGACATTTACCTTTTTTTCAGATAATGTAAGACTTGTCTGTTCCTCCATGGTCAACATTTTTGTTGTTCTAATTTGGGCAATTTGGCATGTCTTATATCAACGTTGGTATTATTTGAGGTTCTACAAGGGCAACAAACCATTTCCTTAAACCATACAAGTAATTCTAAATACAAGATCATGGATCTTATTTTCTTTCTTCTTTGCTCATTTATGTGTTAGTATGCTTGATTTCTTGGTGGATTGAAAAATTAATTATGGTTTTGTCCCATCACTTCAGGGGTAGCCTTAAATCACCATGGTCTCGTAGGAGAAGAAAACATGCTCTTTCACCAAATCAATGGAAGAACCTATGTACACCAGATGGAAAACTTCGAGATGGTGTGAAATTTTTGAAAAAAGTTCGCAGTGGAGTAAGCTATACATTAACTATCACCAATATGTTTATGCTTATTTCTGACTAAAAAATGTGGTTATACTTATTTGGCACTGCATTTCTCATTTTTCTTATCTTCTGGTTGTGTTGTTGTTGTAGTAGTTCTCATATCTCATCTTTCAAATGCAGGGTATTGATCCAACCATCAGGGCGGTGGTTTGGCCATTTCTCCTTGGAGTGTAAGTATTTGCATGTATCTGGCTTCTAAAGCACAAACATAAAAGCACACACATAAAGGACCAAGTATTCTGATTGGCTCAAAAGTGAAGTGTGAACAAGTTTCTCTTGCTACCCTCTATTCATGGGGCAAATTTTAAGCATTCAAACCTTTTGTACCATGTCCAGAATGAGTTCCATTTTGCAGAGAATTGTAACATGTAACTTGGGGGAAATTTAATTACATGGTGGGTATAGGACTTACGTGGTTGGGGGGATTTAATGTGTGGCCAACCTAGAGGTTCCTCTATCAGGTGGACAATTTGTATTAGCTACATCACCATCCATGTCGCAGAAATATGGTAGGTCATTGAGTAGGAAGCTCACTGAGAAACTACATCTTGTTCTGCCACTTGGATTAATTCACTGAGCTATACAAACCATCCATCTGAATCTCCTCCAGCTCACATTAACCCTAAACCCTAGCTTTTATTAGTTTTCCCTTGGACTTTCAAGGGCAGCATGGAATTTTTTATTTTTGGGAAATGCTATTCCTACAACCATGCAGTAGTTGTAGAATTTGCCACTACTCCTATACATGATTGATGGCGGACATGTTGTTTGTCATCTACTGAATAGGTTGAATCAAAAGGACACACAGAATGGTGCTAGTCTCAAGGTTGAATTTGTAAAATAATATCCTTGGCTTGGTCCATCGATGTTTCATGTTAAAGTAGTAGCAACTGTCTACAACCACCACCTGGTTGTAGGGTTAGTATTTCCTTTAGTAGTTTATTTTAAAAATGCCTTATAAGAATGTATTATTTTGGCCATGGAAGAGGGTTTTGGGCTAAAATTTGCTCCATAGGCTCAGTTTGGAAGGAGTACAAACACAAATATGTACAGTGCAAATACATACATAATACAAGGTTTTGCACTCTACAAATTTGCATTTGTACTTCTTCCAAACTGAGCCATAAGAACAGGTCGGCAAGAGGAACATATACCATATTGCCACAAAGAATCCTTGGCATATTTACACACCTTTACTACTAGGGATAACCTAAGCATCTTCCTTGTCTAAATATACTTTGGGCCCTGAAATGGCTCCACATTTTGACCTCTTCACCCTTTATCCTTGGAATGGATTTTGGATTGAAAGCCTTAGCTATTTGTCCAGAGGGTCCCCAACAAGGATTCAGTTGGGCTGGATCTTTCCTCCATCTGGTAGGAATGGGGTTGTGTATTAATGAAGCATAAGTCCTCTTTCAATTGTAACTGGAATTACATGAAATTCTCTCCCATATTTGACCTTTAATTGCCTTTGTTCACCAGCTATGAGTTGAGTAGTTCCAAGGAAGAAAGAGAAACTGCGAGAAGTCAGAAAAGGTATTATTGCCAAGTTCATAGGAACTACTTTTGACTTTTGGCATTCTTTCTGACCCTTATCTTGAGAACCCAAACATTCATCTTCCTATCCACCTACTTAATAAATAATTTCAAGGTTCTTGCTTCCCTTTATTTGTGGCACAGGAAGCAGTATGAAAACCTACGGAGAGAATGCCGGCGAATCCTGAAACATGGTGGTGAGCCCTTTAAGTTGAAGGAAACTAAGGGAACCAACAACAATGGGGACAATGAAGGTTTCACTCAAGACTTGGATTCTCCTGGTTCAGAAGATGTAGTAAGTGCCAGAGATTCCCTTTCGACTGAGGGAGGGTCACCAGAGGATGACTCAGATCAACCTGCTAATAATGGAGTCTCTCAAGCATCCAACTCAATGGCTGAAGATGAAGATAATGGTGAAGTTATACAAGCCGATGCATCTTCAGGGAGTTCAGAGTCATCTTATTCTGACTCCTCTGTAGAAGAACCTGAAAGCTTGCAAACTTTCTCTACCATGGAAGGGAGTGAGGATAATGATCCTGATAATCTTTCCAAGGAGGATTCCTCCCCTTGCAAGATCAAAGGCCGATATGCAAAGGAAGATTTTGCAACGTGGCAGAGGATCATACGCCTTGATGCAGTTCGAGCTAATGCAGAATGGGTGCAGTATTCTCCAACCCAAGCTGCAGTGTCTGAGGACAGAGCACATCGTTCAGCCAAGGCTGTTGGGTTGAAGGATTATGAGCACTTGGAGCCCTTTAGGATATTCCATGCTGCCCGACTGGTTGCCATCCTTGAGGCTTATGCACTCTATGATATTGAGATTGGTTATTGCCAGGGAATGAGTGACTTGCTCTCTCCAATAATTGCAGTGATAGAGGAAGATTACATGGCCTTTTGGTGCTTTGTGGGGTTCATGAAGAAAGCTCGACACAATTTTAGGCTGGATGAGGTGGGAATAAGGAGGCAATTGAGCATTGTGTCCAAGATAATCAAATGCAAAGACTCCCATCTCTACAGACACCTAGAGAAGCTCCAAGCTGAGGACTGCTTCTTTGTATATAGGATGGTAGTGGTCCTGTTTAGGAGAGAGCTGACTTTTGAACAGACTGTATGCCTTTGGGAGGTGATGTGGGCTGATCAGGCAGCAATTAGGGCTGGAATCGGGAAGTCTGTATGGGGTAGGATAAGGCTGCGAGCCCCACCCACAGATGACCTGTTGCTATATGCAATTGCAGCCTGTGTACTTAAGAGGAGGAAGCTGATTATAGAGAAATACAGCAGCATGGATGAGATAATAAGAGAGTGCAATAACATATCTGGGCAACTGGATGTATGGAAGCTTCTAGATGATGCTCATGATTTGGTGGTTACCCTTCATGACAAGATATGAAGCACAGTCCATGGCTTGCTTGTTGTTCGCTAATCTTTTTCTTTTAATTTATTTTATTGCGGTGTTTGGGACCATTGCCATTTTCTCAGGTAACATTTGTATGGAATTTGTCTTGAAAAATGGAAAAGTGGGTGGTGTTTTGCACATAACTTGATGCACATTTCTTTTATTGTTTCTTTATGACAGCTGAGCGTCATTAGGTGCTATATGATGGAGAAAATGTTTTGTCATTGCAAGAAACGTCATTTTGATGTTTCTTCCAAAAAGTAGTTTCACATGTCCAAGGAAAAGTGAAAGTACAATTACTTCACTCTAAACGGTTCAACCAAACAAAAAGTCTCCATTGCTAGAAACATCTACATGGCACTGATCTGACAGTGTTTTTATAATAAAGGACAATAGTGCCAAACACCTATAGAGTGCATGGATTTTGCTTTTAGGAAATCTGGACTGATTCAGGAAAGGTGTTATGATTGGCCATATTCTTCTGTTATCATATCCTTTGGACATCATAAACATTGTCTGTCATCAGTCATATTTTAGAAAATTTCTTTTTACAAAAAATAATTAATTGCAATTTGATAGCACACATGCCAACTGACTTGGCAGAGAAAGATCCACGTCACACATTGCCATCAGCATCTACTCAAGAAAGAGGAACGCCAAAACTCACAGTTGAGCTGAACTGTAAGTTTGCCCTTGAAATTAAACATGAACTTTTAAGGGTTTAACTTTGGCTGTCCATGCTATATGCGGCCATGCCCTCCAGCATTATTGTTATTATGAATATAGAATGCTTTTTAACCTGTAAAACAAAAATCAAACTTAGTAACCATACAAGAAACTTATTGGTTGGCCATATTCAATAGCTTATGTTGTCTGAATGTTCTCTATACGTGACACCGCCCATACAGCCATTCCTCCAACATTGCCACTGTTGCATGAAATTGGTAGCGTCTATAGACTAATGTTTCACACAAGGACTCAAGGAGAGAGCCCTGTTGACAGCACAGGTTGTTTATGTTTGGTAGCACATGCTGTCCAGCTTATACAATAATAAATTTTTTTCCTCGTATGTATCACACTTTAGGCTTAGGCCACCCCTTAGAGTTCAATTTCAACAATCTAAAATGGGAGAAAGGAGCCTTGATCCTATTGCATGCTCGTAATGTTTGCTGCTGGCTGTAGCATAGATTTGGGATTGATTTTTGTCTTCATCCGGGTCGGGATTGGGAGGGTTGTGGGGTTTGGGAATGGGCTACTGCAAGTCGGGTGGGTTGCACTGGGTTTAATTTCAATTCGGACCCAATCCCAAGAATTGAGCTTGAGGCAGGAGCTCAGCCTGGCATGAGCTCGAGGTCCCCGAGCCCAGTCCTTATTGAAATTTCCGAGCTCAAATTGGTCATTCAACATTTCAATTTTCAACCCAAACTATAATTTGATATAAATGTGTGTCTAGCATTTTCCGAGCTCAAACATCTTAAAATAACATTTTTCATGTGATTTTTTCTTTGTTTTAGTTTATTTATTTTTTCATGTGGAAGGACAGAACGCAATATATATATTTTTTTTTCATAAAGGTGCAAAAATACCACTGAATATTTAGTATTACTTCGACAACTATTGGAGCTTATTATGGGAAGTTTGAAATCACGATTCATTAAGAAGGCCATTGCATTAAAATTTATCTTGACATTTGAAGCCATGTATTCATTAGTTTTACTTTTAGGAACGCTAATAAAATTAGGAATGAGGTCACTCAATGTTTAAAAGAAATGGAACCATTCTGAATTAACAGTTTTCAAACGATAATTAGAAAAAATCCCCTAAATTAAGCCCCAAAGACACATTTCCCCCCTCCGTACTGAAATCTTTATAGGTGCCGTTTTATTCCTTTGGTGTAGGATCATCATCCTTTGGACTCTGTATACGAGTCAACATAATCAGGCGGGGGGTGGTGGAACTGTGAAAGGGTGAATTCGAGCATCATACTGAACTTAACCCCTTTCCCACCCCCAACCTTTGATGAAAGGATTTGATAAACCTTACCAACTAATCCAATTGGCACCATAATCTATTTTGGGAGTTTAAACTACCTGGGGTTCATAATCATACAAATTATTAACACTGCAAAGAGCCTAAGAAGTAAGAACCTTGGCACAAGGTGCCCTTTTTTGCGTCGGGTCACATGATGTTGTTTTGCCCTCCACAAACCCAGGAAATTGATATAACGTAGATGTGAAATTTATTAGATTTTCACTTTCTTGAAAACCCACAATAACTAGTTATATTAAGCAGAAATAAACTTTTCCAATCATCAGGCCGGACATGTTTAATCTTTTTTTTTTTTTTTGTGTGTGTTTTGCGTTTTTCTTTTCTTTCAGTAGTTATTCTAATAAGCATTTATGAGCATTTGGTGAAAAAACACTTATTTTAAACAGAGGTAGTATAAGTAATTCTAAAATGACATGACTGGCCAAATAGGTCCAAATTTTGGGCTTTTAAAATATTTATTTCAGGCTTATTTCCCAAATACAAATAAGTGCTTATTGGTTTGGTTCTCATGCAAAATAAGTACTCCCAAACCTAGCCTACCTCTTCCACATCCTCTTCCTTTTATTTCTTTCTCTTCTTTGTTGGGCCTAATCCAAAGGTCTAAACCCAATGTATTCATAGGGTTATATCTTATTCAACAAGTTCGGATCTAGTCCCAACAATCATTCAGCTGTGCATATCTCCTTTGTTCTCCAAGGCGAGATGTTCCAATTTTCAGCTGCAATGGCCGTTGGGACCAGATGCAAACTCTCATTCAACAATCAGCCTTTGTCAATATGTACAAATGACTGTTCACATTCACTCCCAAAAGGAGTGCTCTTTTGGAGTTGGGATCTCCTGCCAATAAAACACGTTTCAACACCCTACCAACTTGATTTGACACCAAACATCTCACTACAAAACTGGAGCCCACCATAAAAGTGGGACCTATCATATAAGAGATGTAAAGAGATCTAGACTCTCTTTTGACCGTGGGCTTTTCATTTACAATACCTATGGGCTTTTCATTTCCTCTTAACTCTTATCTTTTAAGAGGAATTTTACAACTTTAAGAGGAAAATGTGTGTTTGTTTTTTCTTATCTCTTATTTTTTAAAGAGGAATCTTACAATTTTTTTGTTTTCCAATGATACCCCCAAAACACAATAAAAAATTCTCATATATGAAGTTAAAATGGATATTTGACAATTTTCAAAATGTTCCTGCATTCAGAGTTCTGAGGAAAGAAAAGTTCACCAATACTAATAAACCTCTTAATATAATTATTGCACTTTCAGACATCAAATGTCAGAGCAAATGAATAAGCCTTACTTTTCAAATGGGTGAAGTCAATAACTGGTTTATTGCCCCTCATGTTATGTTTTTTTTTTTATTTTTTAATGTAAAAATTAAAAAATAGGTTTGACTACTCAATTCAACAAAGAGGATAAATGAAATAGGGAAAAACATTGAAGAGAAAACCCTAACTATTTCTTGTTTGGGCAAGGGAGAAAACCATTTACAACATAGTCCCTTTCTTATTCGATGAGAAAGAATGATGACTCGAACTGTAAGCTTTGCAAGACATGCATAACTCCAGTAAAATAAGAAGCGATGATCTGAAGAAAGGAACCGCTAAAAAGCATCTCATGAACAAAACCAGAGAATTTTCTTGAATGATTTAGAAAGTCTCCAATATTCAGGATACAAAATGCAGCAAAAGGTGATTTAATAAATCTCTTTGCAACCTTGTAACCTTGTTGACAAAACAGGCATTATAGGTGCTTCCTTTCTTGATTGGTGATATTACAATCAGTGATAAAACCTAAATATCTCCATTTTCTTTCACTCTTCTCTGTAGAAGTGCCAATCACTACAAAAAAAGCTAGCTCGAGCCATAGATATGAGATATAAAATAGGAGCATGAGATATCTATCGACTGAATGAGGTCCTATGACAATAGGGCTTGGGTTTTTTCTTCAATGGGTTTTCCATTTTTCCTCGCCATTTAACTCAAAATGGGCATTTAAACATGTTTTCTTTCATTTTTTTTATTTTTTATTTTTTACATTTGAAAAATGAGAAAAGAAGAGATAACCTACTGTTTGATGATTTAGCGTATGTGAGACATGGGTATTATGTGTGGTTGACATGTTAAAAGTTGAATGGAAGAACACCTTGTTCCACACTGGGGTGTCAATCGGACTGGATTTGGTCCAATCCAATTCAGTCTTAGAAATAGACCAGGTCCAATTCAATCCAATGAATATTTTGGATCAAAATCTAATTCGATGTTTGGACCGTTCAATCTGTTTAATTTTATTTTAATTTAGATTAATTCTAATCCAAACTTGGTCCATTGACACCAATATTCTTATTGTCTATCAATGGACTAGAGATTGGATCAATCTAACCCAATCCAATGAGTATTTTAGACTGATCCAATTCAATGTTTGATCCGTTCAATCTGTTCAAATTGTTTTAATTTAGATTAATTCTTACCCAAACCTAGTCCATTGACGCCAATATTCTTATTGTCTATCAATGGACTAGAGCAATCCCCAATCCAATATAAATTCATTATGGATGAATCATGTCCAATCCTATCCAATAAATACTTTGGGCCATTAAGTTTGAATTGGTCCAATTCAATATGTCTTGTTGGTCCACCCAATCCGTCCAAATTGATTTTAGTTTGGATGTGGATATAATTTATTCCTTTTCTCTCTCTCTATTTTTTTAATTTCTTCTGATTTTTCTTTCCTTTTCTTTTTCTCTATATTTTTCCTTTCTATTCAAATGTTGTTGTTATTATAGCGTGAACAAAAGAATCTTACCATATTTACCGTCTTTTAATTACCTTTGTTCATCATCATGATCATCATTCTCTTTACGTTTTTCCTTTTCTTTTCACAGTTCATTCAATTGCGTATATATAAATATATATCTGTGAAGGTGAAGGTGAAGGTGAAGGATATAAACGCTTCGCCATCTTGTTTAATTGGAAGGAATCCACCCTTCCACCAGGCTTATTTGAAGTGTTGAACCATGTGATGTGAGTTTGACTACTTTCAATTACTCTTAAACGCTGGACAGGGAGATCATTCTTCAATCGACTGGCCATCATTCCCTACTAAAATCTCATATAGACAGTCAAGACAGATACAGATAGATAGGTAATTAGGTAGGTAGCTGGGGATGAATCACCATATATAGATATATATTGGAAGACCCATTAATATTAATAAGCCGTTAGGTGAACAACCAGAGCCTACCTTGAGGTTCGAGCCATGTAGCTCAACTCCTCGCCACCAAGCTCCAACTTCCAAAGTCCTCTCTTCCCCCGCTTTAGTTATTTGAACCCATCATCCAAACTCTTCCATGCATCGATCAGTGGGGAACATAATCGAGATGGCCAGCGGCAAAACGAGGGAGGACGAGCGAGCAGGTGCCGAAATTGTGTATGGCTCTGAAGCCTGCTATCGCCATTCTATCGAGATGCTCCAGGAGCTGGGGTTTCCGAAGGGAGTCCTTCCCCTGCAAGATCTTGAGGAGTGTGGCAGGGTTCGTGAGACGGGTTTCGTGTGGATGAAACAGAAGGCTCCATACGAGCACTTCTTCGTGGGAACCAATACTCGGGTGAGCTATGCCACCGAAGTTACGGCTTATATAGAGAAGTTCAAGATGAAGAAGATGACTGGCATCAAGAGCAAGCAGGTGTTGCTGTGGGTTCCGATCACAGAGATGAGCATCGAAGACCCAGCAAGCAAGAAGATATATTTCAAGACATCAGTGGGGATTGGGAGATCCTTTCCTTCCACCGCGTTTATGTCAGAGGAAGAGAAGCACAAGTATCTCCAGGATTAGAAAATTTCTCCAATTAATAATCTACCAATTAAGCTCTCCTTAATTATCGCTCGCTCACTTTGATAGCTGGGTGAGCACAGATTTCTATTCTACATCTTTGTTGGCTGTTTTCTGTTTATGATGATTTTAGGCTGCTCCTGCTGTGTCTTCCTTTTTCATTTTCTTATTTAGGATCGTTTGCATCAACAACTTAAAATAAAATGATACTTTCGATTGCTGTGTCATGTTAGTATTGTCCATTGCTTACTTTTTTTTTTTTTTTTTTCTTTTTTGTTTTTACAAAAAACAAATAACACAAGATAGCACGTCCCTCAAAATCTAAGACCCCACTGTTTTTACAAAAAGAACGCCCCTTAAATCCCTACGCAGACAAAAAATATCATAATAATAACACCACCTGCAGGAACAGAGTGAGCACTATTTGCAATCCAGTCCCCTGCTTGGTTTCGCTTCTTGGTACACGTGTTTGTATCAAACTCTCTTCCATTTGCTCGTAGGCAATTCACGACAGACAATTTTCTAAGGTTCCATTGAAGAGGAATCGGGCCTTTGAAACATCTAAGGACAAAATTCGAATCCCCTTCAATAAGAATCGGGCAATTGTTGAAATTTGTGGCCAAATTGTGTGCTTCCTTTGTAATCCAAAACCTTTCTGCATCAAAATTTATTTTAATTTCACCCAAGTTGGGAGGCTCCACAAAATATTCTTCACCTTCCTCATTTCTTTTCTCAAATTCTGATAGCAACTTTTCTCAAATTCTTATAGCAACCTAAACTCATCGAAAGCCTTAAATGCTCTTATTGAAAGTCGTTTATTTCTGTTTTTCCATATTTCTACTTAAGTTGGTTTCCTTCAATGACATCATTTTCGTGCACAGCTTTTTCACCACTCCATAAGATGTGCTTAGATTGGCTTGGAACATGTTAATGAAATCTTTCAAATCATTATATTTTTTTTCTTAATGGCTAGATTGTAATAATAAAAGGACGCTTCAATATATCACAAGATTCAAAAGTATCGATATGTAATGTAAAGTATCATACAAACAATACGTATCAGTTTAATTTCAAAGTCATTTCAACCCCTCTAATATCAGTTATCTACTGTGAATTGAAAAGTGAAAACATTAAACTGAAAACATGTAAAAACAGGGAGCTTCGAATTAATCCATCGGAGCCAATCCATTAATTCTCCTATATATCTCCTAAAAACTTTATACTAAATTGTAATATCTCATCAAAGCGGAATATCTCACTTTTGAGAGTGACCAATCAAAATGACCACGTAATTTTTGATGTACAACTTGTCACAACTCACAAAGCATATGATGGTTAGGACTCCTTCCGAGCACCCAAGTGATGAACATGTAAAACTAAGACTTAAAATTTTATTTTATTGCTAAAATATAAACTGTGTATCGTCGTTAGTGGAATGCAGATGTTTGTATCCTTCATTCAAGGAGAGACAAGTTACACCAAATAATTAATGCCACCCACCAACTAAGCCTCTGATGTTTGAGAAAAAAGTCCAAGATTAGATTCCAGGAAAGAATGAATCAGTTTGCATTTGCTTTACTCGTCGATTTATGTGAATTGGTGGTTTTGTTGTTGTTGTTGTTTGCATTTGAGGAATGCAAATGCAAACAGTTTTGTTCTTCGGATGCTTCGCTTCACTTCTCTACCAGTATTGATAAGTGTGGTGGGTAAGTGGTAACTGGTAAGGAGATCTGGGTGTTCTTCTCTCGTACAGCCACTGTATATAGAGTCGAGAAAAATGGAACAAATAAATACATTGCTTCCATCCTCTGCCTTCCAAGTTCTAAAATGGTGCACTGAATCGTAATAAAACTTGAATAAGAGGTAAATCACATAAATGCCCAAACCTCCATGCGAAATTAAAGACAGCACAACCATCGGATGGACAGGGAAAGAGCGTACAGTGAACAATAAGAACAAATGGAAAGTGAGAAATCTTGTCTCTTTGAAAAAGTATGAACATAGATGGCTTAAGTAGGTACGAAGGGGCTGGGGGAAACAGATAGCTACTTAGCTAAAAGCTCTGTACACATGGGAGTCTAGTTCAATCTCTAGATGAATATGTGAGACAATTTAAGTAATGCATGTTACCAAACTTAATTTACAGTTTACACAAGTATGAAACATCTACAATTTAGAAGCTGCTTCTTTGTCCAAGAACCATGTTAACTCCCCTTCAGCTGGTGAAACAATTTGAACAGGCAACAAATCAGAACTATCCTGTTTGTTCCCCAGTGCTCTATACACGGTATCAGCTTTATCAGCTCCACACACCACAAGGGCAATGTTTGCAGACGAGTTGATTACTGGAAAAGTACAAGTTATTCTCTCTGGAGGTGGTTTAAGAGAATCCTTGATAAAGGTTACCCACTTCTGATTCTCACTGAGGAGAGGATGCCCAGGGAATAGAGACGCTACATGGCCATCCGGACCCATACCCAAAAGCATTAGATCAAATTTAGGGAAACCACTAGATGCTGCTGACTCAATTATTTTGAGTTTAACTAAATGCCTAAAACAGGTTTCATAATCATCAGCAGCACCCTCCGCATAGAGTGCATCATTGATGTTATAGACATTACCAGGAGGAATGGGGACCTGCAACATTAGAAGCATAACACTAAAAAATTAATTAATTTGGAATTACAAATAGAATCCTGAGTAAGAGCAGCAATCCCACATGAAAAGACATGACTCTTGATCTGATTCCAGCGTCATAGCTTCATAATCACTGCTCCACAACTTACTACTTGGGAAAGTCTGTAATAAGTCGTATAAAAGCAGACAAACTCATCGTTCTAATAAAAATGGCTACGACCAACCATCTCAGCAGTTTCCTTCTTTCCCTTTTTGTAGGTAGAGAAAAACATTTTTACAGTGTGAAACAGAAAATTTTCATGTACCTTTGAGAGGAAACCATCGTAGGCGAGCTTATAATTACTGTCTCTATGATCCTTGGGCACGACTCTCTCGTCCACCCAGAAAACGTACCACTTCGTCCAATCAACAGACTCAAGATAAGGAGATTCCGTTAATTTCCTGACATTTCAATAAACTACTTTTTAGCGATCAAATTGTACTGGGCTAGAGAGGAATGACGGAGCAAGAGTGAACAAAGAAATGAAAAGGCAAATACATATACACACTTACCTAAGAGAATAGATCAAGGAACCTCCGGATAAAACCACAGCAAAGGTCGCTCTCTCTCGGACGAACTTGGCTGACAAGTCAGCGGTGTATTTCGCCAGCGACACTGCCAGATCTTCCTCGCTTTCGAAGACCTGCAAGTTTCCTTTACTTTTCTCGGTGATCGCCGTCTCTGCCATGGTAGACTACAGTTTCCACCTACACCTGCTGCAATTTGTGGCCTTTAATGGTGAAAAGAGGCAGACCCAGAAATAGTAGAAGAAGGACGATGCACCCGGTGGGAGTGTAGCGGAGATAGACGAAGAAGCCGTTTGTATTGGCGCCCTTTATAGCAACCAGTGATGGAAGATCGTTTAGTTTTGGGAGAGGCTTCAGAGTTTAGACTCTAATCTTCGGTTTAAACTTGGCAAGCTGGCACAAGTCCGAAGCGCGAAATGGAGTACTCGCTACACGGCTACACGTTGCGTTGTTCATGCTGTCATGCACAACCGATGATTATCCAGACCAGACCAGACCAGGGGGTTCAGAGTTCAGACACTTCTTTACCGCCAGGATGACGTGTTGGCAGCATAGCAATTGAATTGTCGACGAGGAATTCGGCATCTAAAAACACCGAAGGAGTACAGTAGTAGTAACTAGTAAGATCTTGATTCTTGGCTTTCATCCCGTATGGATGTCTAGCGGTGATCCGTGCGATGTACGGATTATTGTTTCAAAAGTTAATTTTGTTAATGAAAAAAAAACGAATTATCAAAGTTTAACACTTATTTATATATGCATCTAAAATAATACTCAAATAAATTTTCTTTTTTCTTTAAGTAGGACATTCATTAGTTGAATTGATGAGTAAAGCTGTCAACGGGTCTAAATTAAATTAAGATGTGGAGGATTGCAATCCAATGGGAGATCACATTAAAATCGGATCATATTCGAATTTAACTCCATCCAATCCGATTAAAATCCGAATAATCCAATTATATTATAATATTTTATATAATTTCATATATAATAAAATATACAGAATATATTTTTTATAATTTAAATACAATTATATAAAATTTATATATTAAAATTAATATATAGCCCATGGGTGGTTATTGTTGATGTGAGGGGGCCTCCCAAGTTCTAATGTAGCGCATCAGTTTTAGGTTGGATTAAGTGGTAAATCCACCTCGTACTGAGTTTGATTAGGGTTATTTTCATTTGATCTCTGGGCCAGGTTGCAGCTGAGGCTGCCCTAATGACAGTGGGACGCATGCGAACTGGGGGATGTGGCTAGTTCATTGGGGTGTTAAATGGTGGATCTGTTTTGGGTTGGATTCATTCCAATCAAAATCAATTTGAACGGATTGGACAGATGAATTAAATATATTACATTTGACCAGTTCTGCCCTAATGGTCCAAGAGTATTTGTTGAAATAGATTGGACCTTGTCCATCCATAATGGATCAATGGATTTATATTGAATTGGGCCGGATTAAACCAATATTTGATCCATTGGTAAATGATAAGAATACAAATGTCAATGGAAGCTAAACTCAAATTGAACAAATAGGACAGTCCAGACAATGAATTGGACAGGTCTAAAATGGTCCAGAGCATTTATTGGATTGAACGGACCTGGCCCATCTGTAATGGATTTATATTGAATTGGATTGGGTTGGACCAAATCCGGTTCAATTGACACCCCCAATGTTTTAGCCTTCTCCAATAATAGTGATATTATTCATGGAGTGAGCGGTACTTTTTTTTTATTTCTATGGTAAAAATGATGAAAAGAATTGATAGAGAACACCAATTACAACCAGAGAAGTCCTGTTAAGTATTGGCCCATTAATACAATAATATACTTCTTCGTTGCATGCCCAGGACTAATGATCGCCTGATAGCCTTGTCCATTGTTTTCTTTTTGGGTACAAGCATTAATTTTAATGGTACCAGTAGAGAGAGGAGGTTTCAGAAATGGTTGCTTTTCAATTTTACTGAAGACGTATATACAGGGTGTTTTCCGGTCATTCTTCTGGTGACTTTCCAGATTCAGTTGCCGCGCAATTCCTTTTCCTGCGCTTCAGTTGGACGGGCATAATTTTAGGTGCAATCCATGGCATTTGCTGTACTACAGCAGGAACACAAAGTGCTATGACAAGTCTCCACTAAGCCAAAGGGCTTAAGCTTTTCCTTCAGTTACGACAGTAGGCATTCCTTTTCCTGCTGTAGTAGTGGAGACTTGTCATAGCACTTTGTTTTCTTCAAATTAAGCCCCAAGCTTAAAGACTTTACACCCGCTACTACTGTTGCCTTTGTTGGAGGTTGAATGCCTTCGTTTTGGCTGCAGAGATTTTCTTGAGCTATTTCACTCCCGATGCTCGTGGTTACAGCAAGTTTAGTTTGTCTTACAATGTTGTTTTCGTTTCCTCTTCTTGTTTGTTTGTTCTCCTTCTAATTGTAATCTGAGCATTTTATGAATGAAACTTTGCCTTCTTGCCTTAAAAAAAAATTGTTAAGTTCAGCCGATCCTTTCTCCTCAATGATACTGTACTGATGAGATGGTTGCTGGGTATACTCCCACGTAGAGATTTCAGATTTGGGGTGGGAGATCATTCTAGGCTCTAACAAGAGTCTGGATCTGCTAAGAAATATTTTGGAAACAAAAATCATCAAGGGTTCAATGGATTAGAGAGGGTGATTTAAATACAAAATTTTTTCACATGACTGCTATTAGACGCAGACATCATAAACGAAAAGTAACCAGCATTAGGGATGATTCTTGTCAATGGGTCCAGAATGCTTCAGAAATAAGACAGCTTTTTGTAGGTTATTTCTCGAATCTTTATAGGGAGCCAGTGATGACAGATGGGGGCTGTATCTCAAATCTCAAACCCATGTGTTAAGTCTATCGGTAATATTCGTGAGATTTGTTTTAGGGATGTCACAGAGGAGGAAATAAATGCAGTTTAATTTTTGGAACCTTTCTGTCAAAAAATGGGAGGCAGATACAAGCTACAGGAGAGTACAAGGATAAATCTAATAGTTGATGGGGCTGGAAAAGTGTTATTAAAGGCTTTAAGTTGATGGGCAAGGGTAGGTAATGGGAATTCAACAAAATTTTGGGAGGACCGATGGGTTAATTCCCATACCTTTTAAGTTTCCAGGACCATTAACATAGATTTGTCCTCGAGTGGTGAGTGATTGTAAAAACAATGGAGTGTGGAATCTTACTGAGTTAGTTTCCCTCTTGCCTCCTAATTAATATTCTTCATATATAGAATTAGAGCAATACCAATCAAATTTAATGGTCAAGGAGTTATTGAGGATAAATGGGTTTGGGGAGCTACCAAGGATGGACAAGTGACGGTTAAATCTGCATTTGAGTTTCTATTCACTCAAACTTATGGAACCCAAAAGTTATTTCCATATCATATCTGGAAACTCCCCCTTGTGCTTATAACATTCAACATTTCATGTGGATGGAAAAATTCCAACTGCTGTATACCTGCATCATCGAAAGATTATTCAAAGTCCTATTTATAAAATTTGTGAAAAGGAAATAATAGTTAGAGGGCATCAAGCACCTTTTCACAATAACTTAAGTATGAACATTTGGACATATTTAAATCTTGATTGTCAAATTAATCAAGACTTTTTAGGATGGATTGGACATATATCTTTTGAAAACTCTGGACCGCAGAAATCTGTCTTTTCTTTGTCATTCTCTATGGGTAATTTGGAAAGCAAGAAATGAAAAGATAATTAAGAAAAAGCAAAAACAATGTGGGCTAGTGATCAAGGGTGATTTGGCCCGATCTTGCAGTATGGGTGCACGTGGGCGTGACTTTACTCAAACAGTGACTCAGCATGACAGCGCAATGAGGGTGAGCATAACTCGGAGGAAAAGTCCCACCGAGTTTAGCTCGGCAACTCGGCGAGTAAACTACTTGCCGGGAGCCGCCATACCCGCACCTCCTCCCTGGGGTCAAGGCACTTCGGGGGGTCCCAAGTTCGGGGCACCCTGATCCCTTTAAAGACCCGAGCTCCTCCCGATGGACCTTGGGCCATTCCCAAGCAAGAACGCACCGATCCTACTCAGGACACCCCAAGGCACAGACACCTCGGGGCAGCTAGCTCGGCATAACCGGCTACAGGCGGCCTGTCACTCAAAGGACAGCCCGACTCAGGGTAATTCGCGAGAGGGTAGTTCGGTACATCACAGGAGGGCTTCCTGCTCGACCGCCGTACCCGACAAATCTGTGGACAGCAGGCTTGTCCCTCTCGCCGCGCCTGCCACATTCAGAAAGGTGTTCCGTACCTGACAGACACGTACCCTGTAGTGACGGCCCCGTGCGTGCCACCTCAGCCTTGCCTGTAACGGCTGTGGCAAACTGACAGTGGCAGTTACACATGCCCTGTCAGAAGTCAGAGGGCCTGAAGCAACGGAATTCAGTTATAAGATTCTCAAGGAACATGGTATCTTCAAATCACCTGCGTAACTTGCACTCTTAGCTTCGTTCTCCTTTTGCTTCTTGCACACAATACTAACTTAAGCATCGGAGCATTCCCGCCGGGAAACCCCCCGGGAGTTCTTCCTCTTTCCTCTCGTCTCAGGTACCTCTCAGGAGCCACGCGAGCGCCAGCTAGGAGTGACCGGATTGCGCTACATCATTTGGCGCCGTCTGTGGGAAGCGCTTCAAAAGGCCTTTCTCTCTAAACTTTCTCAGTTCTTTT